GGCAGTTTGACGGTGAAAAAAACTTTGCTGAGCCTTCAAATTAGCTGCCAACTTCTCAGCAGCAGATTCCCGTTCTTTTGTTGAGAGCTTGCTAGCATAATTTGCGTGCTTTGTGGCAAAGTGACGGCTAATATTATACTCTTTAAAAACCGCCACAGTTTCTTGGCATATCAGGCAAACAGCAGATGATCGGTGTTCAGTGAAAAAATATTTAGTTGTCCACTCCTTTTTGAACACTCGACATTCTCTGTCCACTTTCCTTTTCTTGGGTCCGCTCATCTTCATAGAGGGGCGGTAGGTCACAGGGTAAAGTGCAAACGTGGAGTAATAGGCCTACGCCGCTTCACCTCAACAAAGCCAATATATCTAGAGTGCGCCATCTAGTGAGGAAACATCAGAATTGCAGGGGAAATAAAACATTAACAAGGTTAATTTATTAAATTTTTTTCAAGTTTGGCGGGCCGGATCAAAACGTTTAACGGGCCGCACGTGGCCCCCGGGCCGTAGTTCGCCCATGCCTGAACTAGAGTTATTCAATATTCCAGCGACGAGTAGCTCAGCGCCCCTGCCTTAAGAAGTGTCAGTAACCAAATGCAGAATCACTGGTGATCAGCTGCAGGTGCGTGGGCCAAGGGTGGGAGCTCAATCTGAGCTCCGCCCAGGCAGAGAGACAGGAGAGAGAGAGAGCAAGGCGAGCAAGAGAGGGGAGAGCAAAGGCAGAGCAAACAAAAACAAAAACATTTGTGGCCACACTGGGCTGGCCGGGCAGGCACAGGGACCATGACAACGTGTTCATTTAGTTGGTTGCTTTCATGAGTGTCCACCACAGCAGGTCCTTTGTTTGTCCCCCGTTTCCCCAGTCATGGTCTGTGTGTCTGTCTGGTTTCTCTTGCCTTTCTGTCCCTTGCTCTCCTTGTTCTTATGCCCTTTCTCGTCCCTCCCTCTCTCGCCCCTCCCTCTGTTCCCTGGGTTTCATCAGTCTGCATCTTGGTGTGTATGTTTCACGTACTTCCTGTTTTTGTTTGAAACTAGACAAGAGTCCTGTGTGTTCCATACTCGGTTGTTCTTCCCCTGTCTCGTCAGTTGATTTTGTTCACCTGTGTTCCCCAGGTGTTTCATCTCTGCTCTGACCCCCTCTGATGTATTTACTGTCTGTGTCTCCCTCCGTCCAGTGTGGTGATCTCCCTCATCCTCTGGCTGTGTGTTCCGGCTGGTATCTCAGTTTAGGTTTCTTGGTTTATGTACATAGTCATTCAGCAATAAAGCTGTGTTTAAGTTTAATTTTCCCAATTAGTCTGCATTTTGGGTCCTATATCAAGCCTTCACTGCTACATGACAACAGACCATTGAAAAGATAAATCAAATCAATTTATTTATATAGCACTTTTCACAGGATAAAAACCACAAAGTGCTTCACAATAATATAAAACAGAAATACATAAAATACATCAATGATCAAACATACAGCACAAATTAAAAGCCAATTTAAATAAATGAGTCTTAAGCTGCTTTTTAAAAGAATAAATAAAATCAAGGCAACGCAATGATGGAGGGAGAGCATTCCACAACCTGGGGGCCACCGCTCTAAAAGATCGATCTCCTCTGGTCTTAAAACAAGTTTGTGGGACTACCAACAGCCTTTGATTAGATGATCTCAGGCTGGAAGCCAGTGTAATGAACGTAACACTGGTGTAATGTGCTCTCTTTTTTGTATCTTAGTTAAAAGCTTTGCAGCAGCATTCTGGACTAACTGGAGATGGTCAAGATTCATTTTGCTCAGACAAAGAAAAAGACTGTTACAATAATCTAAGCGAGATGAAACAAAAGCATGAATAACCATTTCTAACTCAGATTTAGACAGCAAAATTCACAGTTTGGAGATGTTTCTTAGCTGAAAAAGGCAATTCCTAATTAACTGACGAGACTGTTGTTCTAGGGACATGGCAGAATCAAAGATCACACCAAGGTACCTGAGGCTAGGGTGAACAGATGAGCGAGAGAACCAAGATGCTGTTTGATATCTGGTTGTCGGGGGCAATAATTAATGTTTCTGACTTCTCAGAGTTCAGCTGTAAGTAGTTGTGACCAAGCCGCTATTCAATGGAAGCTAAACATTTAATTAAACAGGACAGTTTATGGACTTCCATTGGCTTAAAAGAGCAATAGAGCTGAATATCATCAGCATAGAAGTGATAAGACACCTCAGGGAACTGCCTAATTAGAAGTCCTAGAAGTAACATGTACAAAAGAAAAAGAATAGGACCCAGAACTGAACCCTGCGGTACCCCACATGTCAGATCTTTAGAATGTGACATAAGTCTGACTGATTTGGGCTGGTTGGTGAGGAGATCAGTGATACAGGATCAGATGGTATCCTCTGTGGACTGATTTGCTCTGTAAGCAAAGTGGTAGGGGTCCAGAGAGGGCAGTAGGCAGTCTCTGATATGCTGAGACACTCGAAACACTTCATGACTGAAGATTTAGGGGGTATAGGTCTGTAGTCATTGAGGAAGTCTATTACAGGCTTTTAGGGAATGGGAATCATTATGTAGGCCTTCAGACAGGTGGTAATGGTGGCATGAGTCAGGCAGAGGTTAAACAACCTGATGAAGATCCCCTCCCAGTTGGTCCGCACAGGCTTTGACCACAGCCCCATGCCATCATGGCCACAAAGCTCTCTTGGAGTTCACCACTCTCAGTTGCCTCCTTACCTCATGCTCCTAAAGGGAGAGTGCTGAGTGAGAAGGAGGGGGAGGTGAGGTGACGCTGAGCAAAGAAGTTGTTGAGCTGCTCTGCTAAGTGTGAAACTGAAGGCCTCATCCTCCTCCTGTGAGCCTCCTTAGCTTGTTTGACACCCCTCCTAGAGTTGGCTCTGGCAGTGCTGTACAGAAAACTTTCCCTCAGCTGGAAGGCAGAGTTACCAGTTCTGATCAGAGCCTGTACTTCTCTCGTGATCCAAGGTTTCCAGTTAGGAAAAACTGTTATATTCTCAACACAGCACTTAATGTAGAAAAGGACAGACAAGGTGAAGCTCTCCAGGTCCTGCTGTTCAAAGATGAATCAGTCTGTCAGATCAACACCTGTAGCTGGATGAGAGCACCATCTGGCCATGTTTTAGTGACCTGGGTGCTTGGAGGGGTTTGTTTCCTGAGGATGGTTTAAAAACAGATGAAGAGCAGAGACGAGTGGTCATATTGTCAGAGGTGGGGGAGGGGTGTCGCTTGATGTTACTGTGCACATGGTCCAGTGTCCTGTTGCCCCTGGTAGAGCACTTTGGGGAGTACAGCTTTCAAATAAATAAAGTCCTCAGCAACAACATGCCTCAGCCTTGATGTATATACAGGGAGTGCAGAATTATTAGGCAAGTTGTATTTTTGAGGAATGATTTCATTATTGAACAACAACCATGTTCTCAATGAACCCAAAAAACTCATTAATATCAAAGCTGAATGTTTTTGGAAGTAGTTTTTAGTTTTAGCTATTTTAGGGGGATATCTGTGTGTGCAGGTGACTATTACTGTGCATAATTATTAGGCAACTTAACAAAAAACAAATATATACCCATTTCAATTATTTATTTTTACCAGTGAAACCAATATAACATCTGCACATTCACAAATATACATTTCTGACATTCAAAAACAAAACAAAAACCAATCAGCGACCAATATAGCCACCTTTCTTTGCAAGGACACTCAAAAGCCTGCCATCCATGGATTCTGTCAGTGTTTTGATCTGTTCACCATCAACATTGCGTGCAGCAGCAACCACAGCCTCCCAGACACTGTTCAGAGAGGTGTACTGTTTTCCCTCCTTGTAAATCTCACATTTGATGATGGACCACAGGTTCTCAATGGGGTTCAGATCAGATGAACAAGGTGGCCATGTCATTAGTTTTTCTTCTTTTATACCCTTTCTTGCCAGCCACGCTGTGGAGTACTTAGATGCGTGTGATGGAGCATTGTCCTGCATGAAAATCATGTTTTACTTGAAGGATGCAGACTTCTTCCTGTACCACTGCTTGAAGAAGGTGTCTTCCAGAAACTGGCAGTAGGACTGGGAGTTGAGCTTGACTCCATCCTCAACCCGAAAAGGCCCCACAAGCTCATCTTTGATGATACCAGCCCGAACCAGTACTCCACCTCCACCTTGCTGGCGTCTGAGTCGGACTGGAGCTCTCTGCCCTTTACCAATCCAGCCACGGGCCCATCCATCTGGCCCATCAAGACTCACTCTCATTTCATCAGTCCATAAAACCTTAGAAAAACCAGTCTTGAGATATTTCTTGGCCCAGTCTTGACGTTTCAGCTTGTGTGTCTTGTTCAGTGGTGGTCGTCTTTCAGCCTTTCTTACCTTGGCCATGTCTCTGAGTATTGCACACCTTGTGCTTTTGGGCACTCCAGTGATGTTGCAGCTCTGAAATATGGCCAAACTGGTGGCAAGTGGCATCTTGGCAGCTGCACGCTTGACTTTTCTCAGTTCACGGGCAGTTATTTTGCACCTTGGTTTTTCCACACGCTTCTTGCGACCCTGTTGACTATTTTGAATGAAACGCTTGATTGTTCGATGATCACGCTTCAGAAGCTTTGCAATTTTGAGACTGCTGCATCCCTCTGCAAGATATCTCACTATTTTTGACTTTTCTGAGCCTGTCAAGTCCTTCTTTTGACCCATTTTGCCAAAGGAAAGGACGTTGCCTAATAATTATGCGCACCTGATATAGGGTGTTGATGTCATTAGACCACACCCCTTCTCATTACAGAGATGCACATCACCTAATATGCTTAATTGGTAGTAGGCTTTCGAGCCTATACAGCTTGGAGCACGACAACATGCATGAAGAGGATGATGTGGACAAAATACTCATTTGCCTAATAATTCTGCACTCCCTGTACAACAGAGCAGCAGTGAATAGTATAAGAAACTACAGGACTATTTACTGTGCAGAACCTTTCTATTCACTGCAGGAGTCTTATCTTCCTCTGTTTTCTTCTTGGCAGGTTATTTAACCGTTACTAGTGAATCTCTTCCTCCTGTCGTCATTGGAGATACAGTCACACTCAAGTGCAACTTCCAAACAGATGGCAGCCTGAAAGAGATTGTGTGGTTTCGGGAAAGCGAACAGGTAAAGTTAGTTAGCTTTGAGCTGAATGATGATCTTGCGTGTGTAATGCTGCAACAAGAGTACTGAGAGGGACTAGAAAGAGAGAGCAGATTTCTCCAGTACTGGCTTCTCTTCATTGGCTCCCTGTTAAATCCAGAATCAAAATCCTTGTCATCACATTACAAGGTCTTAAATAATAAGGCCCCATCTTATCTTGAAGACCTAATAGTACCGCATCACCCCAACCAAACACTTGGCTCTCAGACTGAATCAGAGTCAAAATGACTTTTATTTCCAAGTTTGTGCGTGGATCTTGCTGTGGTGTTATGGTGAAAAGTATTTACAGTATATGTAATATATACATCACTGTATAAATATTAACAATAAATACACATAAAAGAAATATATAATACCTAGTACCTACAGTTATAGAATACAAATGATAAATTAACAAATATGTAAGATTATGAGTGAGGGGAGTGCAAAATGTAGATAGGAAATGATGTGCAAAGTCTTTATAGCCTGAGTATATTGTATTTCCGTTGTTTTTTCCTATCAGCCTACCTCTCTGACATGTCTTCCCAATGTGATGTTTGTGTAAAGTTTGGTCAGAAGGTTCCTTTGTAAGTGCGCATGCACCATTAGCGTGCTGCCTGATGTAACCTATAATTTCCTTCGGGATTAATAAAGTATTCTGATTCTGATTCTGATTTACAACAAAGTGCAAACACCGGTTACACTCAGAAGAAGGGCCAGATTACACTTTTCCAAAAAACAGAGCCTGCATAGTTAAGGGGGAAAATTTTTTTTTGGGCAGATATGAAATAGACAAGATAAATTTATACCAGAATCATGGGAAGAGAAAAATATGATAATGGAAAAGCAACAGCCCATGATGTGCCAGCATGTGCCAGTGTGTTTATCTAATTTTACAGATGGATTTATTGATGTGGCTGCTATGTCAGTCTGACTTCTGAAGTGCACAGGGCTATATTTAATGCTTAGATTCAGTCAAATGATGCAAAACTGATCGGACAGTACTTCAAACTACTGATGGACAATGACCCAAAGCCAGCTGCAAAATACACCTAAGAGTTTCTCATGGCAAAGAAATGGGATATTCTTCAACCGCTGCGTTAGTCAACTAATCTCAACACAAAAACTGGAAATACATTTTTTACTTTTTTATGTTGGGGTTGGCAAATTGCACATGTCAAGGCTGATATAGGACTTTCAAATTGATACCATAGGCGTGTCTACTAAAACTCTCAGGCGATTTTGAATCTCAGTGACCTCAACTTGAAGGTTAGAGGTCAGAGGTCAAGCTTTCTGAAATGGTAAATGGTAAAATGGTAAATGGCCTGTATTTATATAGTGCTTTACTAGTCCCTAAGGACCCCAAAGCGCTTTACATATCCAGTTATCCACCCATTCACGCACACATTCACACAATGTTGTAAAGCGATAACTCGAGACGGAAATCACATAAGATTTTGAAACTGATACCATAGGTGTATCTGCTTGGAAGCTGAGGCGTGCATAAATTCATACAGTGGGGCAAAAAAGTATTTAGTCAGCCACCGATTGTGCAAGTTCCCCCACTTAAAATGATGACAGAGGTCAGTAATTTGCACCAGAGGTACACTTCAACTGTGAGAGACAGAATGTGAAAAAAAAAAATCCATGAATCCACATGGTAGGATTTGTAAAGAATTTATTCGTAAATCAGGGTGGAAAATAAGTATTTGGTCAATAACAAAAATACAACTCAATACTTTGTAACATAACCTTTGTTGGCAATAACAGAGGTCAAACGTTTACTATAGGTCTTTACCAGGTTTGCACACACAGTAGCTGGTATTTTGGCCCATTCCTCCATGCAGATCTTCTCGAGAGCAGTGATGTTTTGGGGCTGTCGCCGAGCAACACGGACTTTCAACTCCCGCCACAGATTTTCTATGGGGTTGAGGTCTGGAGACTGGCTAGGCCACTCCAGGACTTTCAAATGCTTCTTGCTTCTACACTCCTTTGTTGCCCGGGCGGTGTGTTTTGGATCATTGTCATGTTGGAAGACCCAGCCTCGTTTCATCTTCAAAGTTCTCACTGATGGAAGGAGGTTTTGGCTCAAAATCTCACGATACATGGCCCCATTCATTCTGTCCTTAACACGGGTCAGTCGTCCTGTCCCCTTGGCAGAAAAACAGCCCCATAGCATGATGTTTCCACCCCCATGTTTCACAGTAGGTATGGTGTTCTTGGGATGCAACTCAGTATTCTTCTTCCTCCAAACACGACCAGTTGAGTTTATACCAAAAAGTTCTACTTTGGTTTCATCTGACCACATGACATTCTCCCAATCCTCTGCTGTATCATCCATGTGCTCTCTGGCAAACTTCAGACGGGCCTGGACATGCACTGGCTTCAGCAGCGGAACACGTCTGGCACTGCGGGATTTGATTCCCTGTCGTTGTAGTGTGTTACTGATGGTGACCTTTGTTACTTTGGTCCCAGCTCTCTGCAGGTCATTCACCAGGTCCCCCCGTGTGGTTCTGGGATCTTTGCTCACCGTTCTCATGATCATTTTGACCCCACGGGATGAGATCTTGCGTGGAGCCCCAGATCGAGGGAGATTATCAGTTGTCTTGTATGTCTTCCATTTTCTGATGATTGCTCCCACAGTTGATTTTTTCACACCAAGCTGCTTGCCTATTGTAGATTCACTCTTCCCAGTCTGGTGCAGGTCTACAATACTTTTCCTGGTGTCCTTCGAAAGCTCTTTGGTCTTGGCCATGGCGGAGTTTGGAGTCTGACTGTTTGAGGCTGTGGACAGGTGTCTTTTATACAGATGATGAGTTCAAACAGGTGCCATTCATACAGGTAACGAGTGGGGGACAGAAAAGCTTCTTACAGAAGACGTTACAGGTCTGTGAGAGCCAGAGATTTTCCATGTTTGAGGTGACCAAATACTTATTTTCCACCCTAATTTATGAATAAATTCTTTACAAATCCTACCATGTGAATTCATGGATTTTTTTTTTCACATTCTGTCTCTCACAGTTGAAGTGTACCTCTGGTGCAAATTACTGACCTCTGTCATCATTTTAAGTGGGGGAACTTGCACAATCGGTGGCTGACTAAATACTTTTTTGCCCCACTGTATCTATATGGTCCGCCTCCTCTAGTTCAATTGATTCTAATTCTAATGTACTTCTCCCTGGCAGATTATTGAAGGAGCCAGTGCCAAGCAAAAGATTTTCAGCTATAATGCCATGTACAACACTAGCTACTCCAACATGGAGGACAACCGCAAACGGGAGGACCTAGTATACCAGTCAACAGTTCGGTGAGACTAGTACACTGAAATAGTGTTTTTTGTTATGCTCTATGATAATTTTCCACAGAAAATCTGAGTTGTTAATAAAAATCATTCTTTGCATGAACAGACTTCCAGAAGTTCACATGGAGGATGATGGCCTGTATGAGTGCCATGTAGGGATTTATGACAGAAATTCCAAAGACAAAGTTATTCTAGCCTCTAGCAGTATCACCCTCACTGTCATAGGTATGTATTCATACTCATGTTGTCCCATGAACATCTCTGGCTGTATCAGTGGTTTTCTCTTGGCACCATGTATATCTTTTACTAAATTCTGTAGTAATTTATGGAAGTATTGTAAAGTATTTCATTATAGCTATAGTTTGGTTATAATTTGCCATTGGTGTATATTTTACAGGAAGAATTCATTACACTGGGGTAATAAGTTGTAAAAATAGTAAAAAAAAAACATTATTGTAATGTTTTGAAATTTTTGCTCTTTAAGGTCTTTGCACTCCAGTGTCAGCTCAGCTTTATTAAACACACCTTCAATGAAATGAAAGCACCTTCCTCTTTGACTGCCTTGGTCATTGTATTTTCTCTCCAGTACCTCCAAAGTCTATCTCTGTGCTGGTGGCCAACAGCCCAGCTCCATTCAGCCGCTACGAGGCTCAAAACTTCACTCTGGTTTGCATTGTTACAGGAGCAAAACCAGCTCCCATGGTGAGATGGAGAATTTTTATGTCTTTATCTCTCTTGAAAGATTTGGTATTTACATCACTGCTAAGTATGTGAGGAAGGATAACTTAATTGTTGATCATCAGCCTATTTATGAATATGGAAACAACTCAAATATTTTCCTGATAGAGTTGAAAACTGTGTTCTTTCTTTCACTGCAGAATTAATTTAGTGTGCACTGCTGGATTTGGTTGGTGCTCACATAAAAAGAGCAATAACCCCTACTTGATGCACCCTACAGCAGTTGGAAATTTGGAAGCAAAAAAGCTATTTAAAACTGTGTTCTGTACCCTGGATGACCTCTTTTGAACATTGGAATTGGGAATTTATTGCATTGGGAATTAATATTGGAGAATATTATGTGGCTGTAAGCAGGAAAACTCCAACAATCAGCAGTGCAGTGACAGCTCCTTTATTTACAGTATGCTTTCGTGTTTTCCACTTATGAAGCCAACAGAATTAGAGGCAATGTCATTTTAGAAACATAATTCTGGCTACCCTCCCTCCCCCCCCCCTTGCCCTCAGCAGAGATAGTTTCAGCCCTATCCCAGGCAGTGACCCTGAACTAGATAAGCAGAATTAAATAGATGGATACAATTCTTGCTGAAAATGCCACTACAAAATAAAAAAGCAATAGAGCAAGAACAATGCAGACCCATCTTATAGCAAAATGCAAAAGCTCTTATGTACACTGAAAGGATGGTTAGATTTTGTTATTCACCCTGTTCCTATTTCATTTCCCCCTTCTGCACTGTAAGCCTGTTTGGATGCCTAAACCTAAATGACTAAAAACAAAGATAAATCTAAACATGTTGCCACACGGGGAACAAATCCTGTATGTAAAGTTGTCTTAGCACTACCAACCCCTGAGAAGTGTCTGCTATCAGTGAAGACAACAGGAGCAAGTGCAACTGCCAATAACCTTGATAATGTCCAAGTTGGTGTCTATATCATAGACTTGTAAAAATTACAACCTGACGATTATTTGATTTTCCTGGTTGCTGCTTAGCCGTAAAAGGCTGAGTTATTATTATCTACTGGGCGGGTGGGAAAACAGGCGGCATGGACTTCCAAATGAATTAATAGCACAGGTGCAAATACTAAAAATCTCAGTGACCTCAACTTCAAGGTCAAGGTCAAAGGTCAACTTTTCTGAAAATCACCTGGAAGATTTCAGATTTAAACCATAGATCTATGGAGGAGGAGCCTGAGGGGTAGCACTGGTGGCTGCCAGCATTTTTAAAAATTTTACAGCTGTGGATGAGACTCACATTTCTGCACTATCCTACTAACTTTAACACACACAATGGAGTTCTCCAGCTGAACTTGACTTATGATTAAATGTCTTCAAAATGCCTAGTGAGCTAAGTTTTTCTCTCTCTGCTGTTTAGGTATACTTCAAGAGAGATGGTGAGCTTATTGATGTTGTGCCAACAGCCCAGTCTTTTTCTTCAGTAGGAGTTCAAAGTAAGAGCCCAGGTCACAAAAAGAGCTGGACTATGAACCAGGCAGGGCTTTGGAGTACCCAGGTGTTGACCAGTCGAGATGTTGATGACACCAAACTCCAGAGGACCCTGCTGGAGCAAGAGGAGAAGCAGGCCAGGCTAGACCATAATGGACCTGTTGACTCTCAGGGCCAAGAAGAAGAGTCCGAACTGAATCCTGAGGAAACCACTGAGATTATCCCTGAGACAATAGTGAGCAGGGAATTTCCCCGCTGGGTTCAGACTACTGACCCTCTCTATTACTTCTATCACCGGCAGCAGGCAGCAGGCGATGGCACCATGGAGGTTAGAGCCATGCTAACCTGGAGCCTCAACCCCCAGCTTGACAATGAGGCTCTATTCAGCTGTGAGGTCAACCACCCAGCTCTATCCATGCCCATGCAAGCTGAGGTCACATTGGGTGAGTCATTCACTAACTGGCTGAGCTAACATGCAAACAGAGTTGTTTTTAAATCCAGTCACATGTGTTCAGTGTCCAGTGTGTTATTTTTACATTTTTCCTCTTAGCTGCTCCCAGAGGACCTAAGCTGTCCATGAGTCCCAGTAAAGCCAAAGTGGGAGATACAGTGCGGATCACTGTCCAGGGCTTCCAGCTGGGACCTTCTGCAGTGAGTATTCAACACAGAGACTCTAAAAATCATTGTGAAGTTTAAAAATCTGAACTTGTAGTACTTCTGTTGGATAGCTGTGACAGTTTCAATGGCATAAAATTTAAAATGCTTCTCATGCTCACACACCTGTGTGTCCACAGAGTGAAGTCTTCCCTGAGCCAATGTTCACTTGGACCAAGGTTGGTGGGGATCTGCTCGATGGCAGAGCAGTCCATAACGGAAGGGAACTCATCCTGGAGAGAGTCCCTGCTGAGCTCAATGGCTCCATGTTTCGCTGCACAGCCCAGAATCCTCTGGGCTCCACGGATACCCACACCCGCCTGATCGTGTTTGGTGAGTTGTTTGTGTAGGGATTAGTTCTGATCAGTCAATGCTTTCGGTCTTTTCAAAGCGAATCTTGTGTTTTTACAGACAACCCAAGACTGAAGAGAGGAAAAGAACATTACATTGGTACGTCAGTTTCAGTACAGCTACAACTGTGACGGTGGCAACTTTGCACGAGTCTAAAAGAAAAACAAGAAGTATAAAAAGAGAGTGACCTCAAGGTGTGGGCTTTTTGGGAGTTCCCAGCACATTTTAATAACTACACATAATCTGATTACCTCCAGGAGGTAGGGCAGGTCATCTGCTACTCAAAGGTCGGTGGCTCAGTCGCTGGCTCTTCCAGTCCACAGTGCCCTGAGTGAAGATACTGAATCCCAAATTGCAAATTCATGATAGAAAACAGTTAAAGGCATTGAATTAAGTGATGAATCAATGTGTCAAAAGTATTTACAGTACAAGGTTTATTTTTGAAACTGTTTGCAGTTTTTATTTATTTATATAGTATTTATGCACCAGGTGTGTAGTTAGAAGAAAGGACAGTGTGTTTGTCAGTGTGACACTTTGATGTATTTGTGATCATTTTCAAACTTTGGAGTTTTGCGCGCACACACACACACACACACACACACACACACACACACACACACACACACACACACACACGTACTGGATTGATAGATAACAGGACAAACTGGCTGGTTGACAGTACAAATACCACATGCTTGGATAGGAGGTTGTTACATCAGCATTTGAATTTTGTCTTGTTTGTGTGCAGCCATCAACACAGCAGTCGGTCGGCACTCCTTCACATTATCCACCATTCTACTGCTGAGATTCACCTGTGAGCTGACGTGACCCGAAGCTCTGCTCTGCTGCTAAACACACTACCCAACTTCCTGAGGCACCATCAGTGACCATCAAGTAGTTAAACCTCCAACCAGTCCTTCTGCTTGAGCACCTAGGAGGAAGGACTCATTCTGATTCTGCATTAGACACAGAATGAAGTTTCAGAGGCAATTTACATGTAATCTTGGGAATACTTGAGATTTACCACTACCATAGGGATAATAGTAGATAGATTGTTTTGTTGTTTTGTTGCTTTAATTTATTTATTTTAAACAATAATATAAAATTATGCACAAAAGGAGTTACCGTACTAATGTAAAAAAAATGTGGTTTTATTTATATATGTTTATATATAAATATATGTGGTGGCCCCTAGAGACAAAGCACGTACAAACTCCAAAAAGCACATACAAACTCCAAAACACATTCCTAGAGTTAACTGAACTTCCAAAACAGAGCTACCTAGATCACTTAAATTACACAATTGAAAGCATATGTGTATGGTTTGTGTATTTATACACAAGCACTCATATATATTCAAATAATTAAACAAAAAATGTTCATTTACCTGTTACTACCACACACCAAATGCGGTCGTTGGTACTTGCTGGCTTGTGTAGCCACTAGGTAACAAAAGCTCAACACTGCACCTAGCATTCTGGAGCACTTCTGTTGTGTTTTGTACGTGTTTTGGAGATTTACGTGCTTCAGGGTTTGTACGTGTTTTGAAGTTTGTATGTGCTCTGTCTCTAGGGGCCACCGTAAATATACTTTTATTTATTCACTCCACATAAAATGTAATAAATAAATCATATAATACAAAAACCAACTAGTCACATTTCAACTTTTAACTATTTACATTTTCAGCTTTTTCCTTTTAAACAAATTTAAAATGAAACAACATAAAACACTACAAACCACAACACAATTAAATATAAATTAAAATATGAAAACAAAAAGAACATGCATATTCTCTGTCATATGGGCCTGCATGAATAAACTTTCTGAATCCTTTATCATCCGCAACTGAAAATAGTTGTGGATGATTACTATACCTTTCTACAACACGTTCTCACTCCCAAAGCGTAACATTCTACGCTAGGTGACAAATCGTCAACATATTACGTTTCCGGGCACCCAACACGGTCCTACATGGCGACATCGGAAAACTGAGGACATATGAGAACCGTTTGGACTCAATCTACCCATGTTTGCTCTTTTCCTTAAAATCGCTTGGGAAAACATTATTTCACGTCATTAAAGTGCTGGTTACAGTTAGAAATAAGGTTATGGTTAGGCTTAGGGATAAGGTTATGGTTTAGGGCTGCAATACAGGGCTGGAACGTCTATTACTGCGGGAGTGTAATTCCACTGGATTTAATCCATAACCCGGCGCATGCCATAACAACGCGGAAGGTCACCTTTCGCGTTCCTCATTGTCCTGGTTCTGTTATTTTTCAATACTTGCTTGGTTAAGATTCATATTCAAAACATCATAAATTTATTTCAGTTAGTGCAACAAAAACTGAAATAAATGACTAAAAATAAAATAAGATACTGTGCTGTGATACAGTGATTCAGACTTCCTCGAGTCTCTAAATTGGACGGCAGTTTACCAAACTAGTGAATGAATAGATTATATAGAAGATAAAGATTTATTGAACAAACTAAAACAATGTTTTTTAAACATAAATATGAATAAAAATGGACAGGAATATTATTCCAGATTAAATAAACTTAAAAAAAAAACTTTAACTTTAAATATTCTGTCAAAATCAGGCAAGTTAGAAATATGAACACATGGCCAAAAACCCCAGAAAAAATACACAAGGTTCGAGCCGCATGTAGATGGAGCTGGGGCATTGCTTCAGGAATGGAACTAATAAACTGTGTGGGCCATTCAGTGTCATACTTTCCCTTGAGTCTATCACTACACTGCAGCTCCATCTGAATCTGCACAGGTGCAGTTCAGCAAAGTCCGCTGACTTGGTTCAACATTGCTTGGCAACAGGGAAGGTAAGGCAGGTTGCACTGGTGCGTTTGTGACAGCTTCACTTGAAATGCCTTCACCACATCATACATGTCCATGAACTGACAGATTTCCTTGCTGAGCTTAAAAACTCTATTGAGAATTTTTATCCCAACTCAGCCAACGGACGTCAGTATGATAAGGAATGTCGGCAAATTCTGAATCTATTTCCCACATAAAAGACTGAAATTGACGGTGATTTAAACTTTTAGCTCAGATAAAATTTACGGTTTACGTTACGGAGATCATTACATGCTCCATTTTTAGGACTTTACCACACAGCCTTTCCTGGTGTGTGATGCAGTATGCTGTTAACTCACGGTACAGTTCTCCTCCTGCATCTTTACTCGCATCCTGCTGACTAGTCCGCTTTTTTCATCGCACAACACCGGCGCTCCATCTGTTGTAAGTCCAACAAGTTTGTCCCATGGTAGTTTCATGTCGGTTACACTTTGACATATGTTTTCAAAAATGTCTTTTCCTGTTGTTGTCCCATGCATCGATTTAATGTTCAATATTTCCTCTCCACGGATGAAGATGGTCAGCTGTGCAATGTCCATCATGTCTATACTTTCATCCACAGCAAGAGAGTATGCAATAAAGCTTTTGCTTCTTTCACACAACTGTGTTCTTAAATCAGTGGCCATCTCACAAACCCGATCAGCAATCGTATTTCTCCTCAGGCTCACATTTGCCAAAATCTGCGTTTTGTCTGGACACAAGACGTCGCACAGCTTCATCATGCAGCTCTTCAGAGTGGTACCGGGCTGATTTGGCTCCTCTGCTACAATAAAACTTGCTTTCACAACAGCTTCACTTTGTGATTTTGCTCTGGTGAAAAACATCTGCTGAAATGTCAGATTTTTCTTTAGCTCTTCTACTTTCTGTAGTTTCTGCTCTGCATATCCTGACGTTTTGTCTCGTAGTGCTGTCTTAAATTAAATTCCTTAATTACAGCCACATTAGCTCCACTAATAAGTAGAGATGGACCGATCCGATATTACGTATCGTATCGGTCCGATACTGACGTAAATTGCTGGATCTGATGTTGGAGAGAAATAAAAAATGTAATCGATCCATTATATATCAAAAAAGCACCTCACAAAACTTGCGACACGGCGTAACTCGGCTCATAACCGTAGCACATTGGAGCAGTGTGCTCACGTGATAGAGCGGCTGTGTGTATTTATAGCCTCTACCAAACCTGCATTTCATCCATAGCTGGACTGGCCATCGGGCATACCGGGCATTCGCCCGGTGGGCCGATGGTGAATTTTCGTTTTTATGGGCCGATGATTTTTTTTTTTTTATAACAGTATAAACAATGAAAGGTGATGGATTGGCCAGATGCTGCCAAATGTGTAAAAATAACTCAGTTGTTTGGTGGTGGCTATGGCAGAGCTGCCACAAGAGGCCAGGTGGATGAGGGAAAGGGGAGGCAGGAGGAGCAGAGACCCGAGGCGGCCGCCGGTCCATGTGTCAGGTGAACTGAACTTCAGGTAAGAAGTTATGACCAGCAATCTATCTGGGTCAGATATAAACCAAGTTTAGGTGTAGTTTATTTTCGTTGTGCTGAGTTTTTACCGTCAGTTACAATAACTTGTACTGCGTACTAGCTAGCATGACGGAGTTTCTACAGCTGGGTGGGTGCTATGTTACTGATAGTGAACTTTATTTTATTCATAAGGTTAGTTAGTAGAGTTGCCAACGGTCCCGTAAAAAACGGAATTGTCCCGTATTCATAGAAAATGTTACGCGTTTTGCATTGAGGTGAAAAGGAACACAGTTTGTCCCATACTTCAGCTAGAATGGAAAAAGACACAAAGCTGGAGTTTTTCTCTGTCTTTACGCTGTCAGCTGTTTCTTCTTCTCTCATTCAGTCATGAAACTGATCAATGATCAGCTGATCGGCTTTTCTCTCTTGCTTGTTTATCGCCCACTTTGCGCCAGAAAGAGGAAACCAGCGGTTGTCGTGCTAAACAACAAACAGCAGCACGTTTAAGCTTGATCAGCTGATGTTTGCTGGAGCCACAGCTGTAAAAGCTGCTGGTCATTATGTCGGTTTGGTTATCTGGGGAGAGGAAAACATGAAGATGAAACCAGGAGATGTCCTTACTGAATCATCAGAGCTGAACAGGTGATGGAGAAACAGGTTTACTTTTTAGGTGATATGAATGAGTTGAAGGGAAGTTATGAACTGTTTTTGAGAGACAAATAACACCAGGATCCTTTTATAAATAGCTGACAGCTGGTAACTGTGCAGGGGCGGGTCTAGCAAAGCTTTGCCAGAGGGCCAGGAAGGGCATTAACAGGGAGAGGGGGGCACAAAGAAATACTTTTCTTTCTTATTCTCATTTAAAATGTCTCGCTTTTATTAAATAATTATCTGAATCTTACAACCAAAGTTTTTATCTGATGTACAACGTATAGAAATCATACATATACCAACAAGACAGTGTACATCACTGTACATTAGTTGTACATTAGTTCTCGCAGCTAGCTGCGTTCTTCATCGACGCACGAGCCGAGTGATCCACCACTAAGAGTCGTATTGTTTTTTTTGTTTCACTGTGGGTTGCCACATTCGTAGACGGGGAAAAGGGTTTGAAGGTATAACCCCCGGGCGCTCCTTCCCCCGCCGAAGCAGGGGAGAGGAAATATTGAACCCCCCGTGCTCCCTCCGCAGGAGGGAGGAGAGTTGGGTACCCAGAGGCACGCGGGCAGCGGCCAGGGCGAGACCACCAGCCAGCGCTTTCGGTCGAGGTTCTCGTGGCGGGCCCTTACCGGTAGTTGCCGGACAGGGACCCCGGCGCCCGCCTCCAACGAGCCACAGTCCCGACTCTCCTCGGTTGGCCCTCAAAGGAAGCGGTCAGGGCTGCGGGCTCGCTTTGGCGTAGAGGCGGGGCGGGGCCGTCGGGTCGTCCGGCCAGTGACCAGGCCCAGATTAAGGCTCGAGCTCCGGTGGGGGACGCGCAAGCTGACAAACTCGGGAGATCCGCGACGGTGGCGGGAGACCCTCGGCGGCAAAAGGGAGACAACCGGGTGGACTGCAGGTGGGCCGCTCGGTATAGCCAGTAATGATCCTTCCGCAGGTTCACCTACGGAAACCTTGTTACAACTTTTACTTCCTCTCGATAGTCAAGTTTGATCGTCTTCTCTGCATACCGCCGGGGTCGGTCACGGCCGATCCGAAGAACTCACTAAACCATCCAATCGGTTGTAGCGACGGGTTGTGTGTACAAAGGGCAGGGACTTAATCAACGCGA